TCAACCTGTGGGTCAGGACCCCATTTGGGGTCGAACGACCATTTCACGGGGGTTGCCAAACAACGCAGTCTGCCATTTTTTCCCCCTTTTCCTTAGCTGTGCTACTCCCTTTTATTCTATTGGCCTTTGAAAGCCAATAGAATAGACTCTCTTGAATAGAGTCTAATTCTATTGGCTTTCAAAAGCCAATAGGAATTGTCCAGGCTGTCTCTGCCCTGCTGAGCCCGCCAAAAGTCCCATTCTGCAAACGGTGCTGCACCAGTTGAGTAGTCCTCGACCTACGACCGGTTGAGTAGTCCTCGACTTACGACCGGTTGGGGGGGGGGTCACGGCATTAAAAAGGTTGAGAACCACTGCCCTAGTACCTCCTTTCATCCTGAATACCGTAACACACCTTTTCTCTCAGGCAGTTTTTTTCCCTCCTTTCTTTTGTGAATTAACGTTTCCTCATTTAGGGATATTCCACTGAATACTGCATAAATCTCCTGTGCCCGTCCTCCCCTCACGCCAAACCGCATCAGTTCTATTTCATTCCCCCAAAGGCAAGACAACCGTACGGATAAGCAGGGGAGGCCATGAGCTTTTTTCACTGACCTGAGCCTATATCCTCTTTACTAACAACTATTTCTTTGTTCATATTGAAGCGGATTTTCTCAGTGCAGGGTGTCAAGGATTTCAAATGCCGAGTCAAAGCTCCTGATTCCCGGAAGCTTTTCCCACATTTCTTGCACTTGTAAGGACGCTCGTCTAGAGAAACCAAAGGAAAGTTACTTCACAGAAAAGCCTGGCTCCACCGCCTCCGGGTGAACGTTCTGCTGCCAACCCTGCTGTGAGGCCTATATATAGCTTTCCAACAGTAGGAGCACAGAGGGCAAGGTAAATGCTTAAGCATCGGGAAGTAATCCTGGAATCCTTTTATGCAAATCCCTCATCCTAGCCGTTCAAATAACCCTTTAACTCCCAATGCCTTCCCCTGGGCTACTTTTGAAAGTTGCTTAATAACTGAGTCACTACATACAGCCGACCAAGTCCTCTCTTCACCTGTGTGGCGGCGGTGGTGTCGGATCAGCGAGCCCTTGGTCCTGAAAGATGTCCCGCATAACTTACACTCGTAGTCCTTCCTGCTGCTGTGAGTGATCATGTGAGCCTTGAGAATGCTGGCCTGAAATCAAAGGATACAAATGTTTGTGGTGCTGCCGGACACGGGGTTTTTAGTTTTAACCACACGACACTTCAAACTCTAACGCTGCTGCCTTTCCTCACCCAGGGCGAGAAAGATTGTGTCTCACTAGAATCCTCGTATTAGTCATTTATCTAACAGTAGCATGAACGTTGCTAAAATCCTTAACATACCGTCTTAAATGTCTTGTGGCACAGTTCACAGACGTAACGACCTTCCTTATTAACCAGCAGTTTAACTTTGATAAGTTCCAGAGAAGCACCTTCCCCTGGGCCTCCTGGATTACTCTGATTAATTCCACCATCTTCATCACTGGGGCCGTTGGGGCTTTCAAAGACATGATCTGCACCTACAACCACCTCCTTGATTTGCCCACTACCTGCAAAGAGGCCCAAAGCCAGTTAGATTCTTTACAGAAGACCCCATTCCATAACCAGCTAATGGCACTTTTGGGGGGGGGGCATACTGGATATGCCCCCATGATGGAGTGGTTTCTGCCATTAAATTCAGGCTGAAGCAAAATCCCTCTGCAGGCCTTGGCAGAACTGGAAGGGGTTCTGTGAGTAGAGAAAGCACTTCCATGCAATGTTCATCTGAATTTATTCTGGATCACATCAAAACATATTATTTAGAGGACAAATAACCTTATGTGAATCAATCAATACATTTCATCTCAGCTAGCAATCACACCATTATTCTGTATTCTCAAAAGCATTTTGTCTATCGATGCTTAAATTTTAGTAGAACGAAAGGACCTGCACGACTTCTAACTATTCATTTCCCCTAAATAATAAACTAACTTAATAATGCTCTGTCACGCCTTTTCTAAAATAAAAAGCTTTAAATCTTTATTTTTCTTCAGGGAAAAACTACCATTTTGGTTTCTCTCTCCTGGGTTTTCCCAAGCTCCCGATACCCTTAGATCAACATAAATTTATATAACAACTTTAAGATATTAATTATCTTAATAATTCATGGCACGACATTTTCATTTTCAGTGCACTTTTTGAGAAGAATATGTTTTTATTTAATTTTCAGAGGACCTAACTTTTGATGATTACATTTATTCAAAATCATGGAAAACTACTGAGATACACAAATGGCTGCACATGGCACCATACCATTTTAATCCACTACTGCCAACACTGATTAACAGCAGTATCACTTCAAGAGGATTCCTTCCTAATACTTGGAGATGCCAGGAACTGAAACTGGGATCTTCTGCATGAAACGCATTTATCCTTCCTATTACATTCCTCTCCTTTAAATACCCACAACAGGTTTACTGATTGCCTAAAATAAAGTTATTTAAGTGGCTGGTGGACTTACCTACAATTTCAGATACATTGCTGATTTCTTCTGTTATTGGAGCTGCTTCAACAACTATATGAGCTACAGTTATAGGTGCTTCAACTGACGAAATCACCTGATGGAACAAATGAAGCTTTAATACGAATACACCTATTGTGATAAGCATGTTCCAAAATATCTTTTTATAAAATTTACACTGTTGGAAATGATAAAAAGATCTTATGCTAATATCCCTTGTACAGATGAGGTGATGCATTCTGCAGTCATTTGAGCCTACAGAGCTCCTTATTTATCCAGCTTGCAGCCCCACCCTGGTCCCCAGTGAGATCACATGTCTGGTAAGCAGAGCTAAGATGCTGCCTCGAGAAACTTGCCGGAGCTGCTGCTGCAGTTGCATCCTGAGGCCGCTGGCAAAGCTTCTGCAACTTGTGTTGTACGAATTCTTCCAAAGAAGTGAACTCGGATTGGCAGCGACCACATTTGTGCCTATCATCTTCATCTAGAATGCAAAAAAACAACAACAAGGACCCTGTCACACTTTAGACAGCATGAAAAGGAGATTCACAAATAACCAACCTCAGCAGCTGTATTCATTCCAATATTAGTATTTACAGGTTTGGGATAATAAACAGTAACAGCAGTTTAAAGATTGCCAATAATTCCAAAGGAAAACATGGAGTTAATACCTCTAATTGAGTTTTGTTTTTTGTTTTTTACGATCAGGAGAAAAACAGCGATCAAGATGCTGCCTAAATAATCATAAAGCTGGTCATGGCCAAGCTAAGGCCAGCATGGGATTCAATCTCCACAAAGATCAACCCCCAACACAGGCCCAGAGAGTGTGGGAGGAGCATCTTGCCCCTCCTCCAACTGGACAGCCATCCATCAGAAACAGTCTAGGTCTCCTGCCAGGGGGTTGGATTAGATCAGTGTTTCCCAAACTTGACAATTTTAAGGCATGAGGACTTCAATTCCCAGAATTCCACAGCCAGCAACGCTGGCTGTGGAATTCTGGGAGTTGAAGTCCGCATGCCTTAAAATTGTCAAGTTTGGGAAACACTGGACTAAATCAGTGGTTCTTAACCTGGGCGATATTGCCCCCCAGGGGGCGATTTTATTTTTCAGGGGGGCGAAGGAACGAAAATGGGGCGATATGGGGGCGATGGAGCGAGAGGTTTTGGGGAAAACTTTTGAGACTTTTTCGTACAGTGAATCGCTGTATATCTGTCGTACAAAAACATCAGATCGCTCGCTATTAGTGGATTGAATTGTGTTTTCAAATGTTCCTCCAGCTAGCTTCAGTACAGAAGGCCGTACATATGTAAAGACGCATCGCTTATCTTCATGCGCGTTGCGCAGCAGCCTCTACCCATACAGTGGCACGCCCTTGGCCATAATATGGGAGATATGGGGAAAAGACTGGAAATAAATGATTTGCATCGATAGGTCCTGATGACAATTTTAAAGAAAACAAAAAAAGCGTTTGCATAAATGGAAGAATTATTTCCTATGTTGTGATTGAGAGGTTATGTTGGGGGAGGGGGCGATGACAACTTCCTCATTGGCTCAAGGGGGCGATTCGTTCAAAAAGGGTAAGAACCACTGGTCTAGATGACCTCCAAGGTCCCTCCCAACTCCGCAACTGTTACCTTCCTGCCACCTGCACCAGCCCGGAGGCCTCTCAAAGGCCCTCAGCAGAAGAGCCCACCTGGCGGAGAGGGAGGCATCCCCTACCCCGGAAGCCCAGAGAAGAGGCCCCCTCCCCTAATCCCAGGAAAGCCCCCCCCCCCGCTTGCCTCTTGGCTCCTCTGCCTGCGCCTGCCCTTCCCTCCCCACAACACCCCTGCTAGGTAGGCTGCCGCAGAGAGCGCTCAGCAACTGTCCCAGCTCACAACAAACCGATCGGGGCTGCGCCGCGCCGCCAGACCGACGGCATCCCCCACCCACGCACCCCCCCGCCGGAAAGGTTCCGCGGAGAGGCTCCCCCGGGGCAGGAGGGAGTTGGGTCACGATGGGCCCAGCGCCGATCCGCCTCCGCCCGATCTCGTGACGTGGACGGGAGCCGCCGCGGCGGCGCCTTTCGCCGCTCCGAGGGCAGGTCCGCCCCCGCGGCAAGAACAGCCGCCGCTTCCCCCGGAGGGCCCTGAAGCGCCCCCTCCCCCGCCTCCCCCCGGGCGGCAGTACCTTCTTCCTCGAAAGGCGTCGGGAGGCTGAGGAAGGCGGCTGCGGCGGGAGACGGAGGGAGGCCGCCCGCTGCCGCCACCGCCTCAGCAGCGTCCTCGCGTCCCCGTGGCCCAGCTGCCGTAAGCCCCGCCGGCCCAGCGCCCGTTGCCATCGCGGCTTCCATGTCGCAAGGCGCCGCAACCACCAAGATGGCGGCTTTACGGCCGTGTCGTCATAACAACGGGCCCGCGCCGCGGGGAGGCGGGATCGCTCGAGCCCCGTCGCGGCCTCGGTGCGCAGGCGCTCAGCCAACGGGAAGACGAGGGCGGCTGCGGGCGGCTCACCTGCAGGGGCGGGGCCTGCGCGGCGTTACCGCCAATGGTTGGCAAAGGCCGGACGGTTTTCCTCTTCGCTCGGCCAACCGACGCGCGCCTCGTCCCGGGCAGCCAATCAGCGGCGCCGGATCCGGTTTCCGGAGGCTTCTCCGAAGCCCTCGTGCGCGGACGAGCAGGAGACGGGGCCGCACGGGGGCGGGCCGCCCCGCCCCCCCCCAGCCAATCAGCGCGGCCGGAGCTCGTGAGGCGCTGAGGCGCGGCGCCCGTCCTCTCATCTGCCCTCCCGCGATGGCGGCCAAGGAGTGTCGGCGGCTGGACGCGGCGCTGGCGCGGCAGGTGCTATCCGAGGCGGAGGCGCTCCTCTTCGACTGCGACGGCGTGCTGTGGCGGGGCGAGGCGCCGCTGCCCGGCGCGGCCGAGACGCTGCACCGGCTGGAGGCGCGCGGCGCGAAGCGGCTCTGCTACGTGACCAACAACTCCTCGCGGACGCGCCAGGCCTACACCGAGAAGCTGCGGCGCCTGGGCTTCCCGCCCGCGGAGCCCAGCCAGGTCTTCGGCTCCGCCTACTGCGCCGCGCGCCACCTGAGCCGCGCGCTGCCGCCGGGCGGCGCCGCCTACGTGCTGGGCGGGCCGGCGCTGAGCGCGGAGCTGGAGGCGCTGGGCGTGGCGCACCTGGGCGTCGGCCCCGCCCCCGAGCCCGGCTCCGCCCACTTCGGCGCGCGCGCCCCGCTGGAGCCCGCCGTGCGCGCCGTGCTGGTGGGCTACGACGAGCACTTCGGCTACGGCAAGCTGTGCCTGGCGCTGCGCTACCTGCTCCGCGGGGACAGCGACGGGCGCGGCTGCCTGCTGGTGGGCACCAACCGTGACAACCGCCTCCCGCTGGAGGGCGGCAGCGCCGTGCCCGGTACGTGCGGCCACGGTGGCCGGACTCGCCCGCCCCGCCTCTGGCTGCACCGGGCGGGCGGCCAGCCTGGGCTGGAGTCGCCGCCCGGTGCAGCTCGCTGGTAGCCCGGAAGGTGGTCGGGGAGGGACTGAAAGCAGGGGTTCTCAACCTTGGCAGCTTTAAGACTTGTGGACTTCAACTCCCAGAATTCCTCAGCCAGCAAAGCTGGCTGAGGAATTCTGGGAGTTGAAGTCCACAAGTCTTAAAGGTGCCAAGGTTGAGAACCCCTGGCACTGAAGGAAGCCGGCGCGGGGTCGTTCTGGGCAACTTGTAGCCGTGGTCCTCCACTTACGACCATGGTGGGGCCCAAATTTTATGTTGCTAAGCAAGGCATTAAGTGAATTTTGCCCCATTTTACGACCTCTTCTGCCACATTTGTTAAGTGAGTCACTGCAGTTAAGTTGGTGACACGGTTGTTAAGTGAATCCAGCTTTGCTTGTCAGAAGGTCAGAAAGGGTCTGCTAAGACCTCGGGAGTCCTAGTGGATAATCACCTAAATAAGAGCCAGCTGTGTGCTGCAGCTGCCAAAAAGGCCAACACAGTGCTAGGCTGCATTAACAGAGGGACGGAATCAAGATCACGTGAAGTGTTAATACCGTTTTACAAGGCCTTGGTAAGGCCTCACTTGGAATCCTGCATCCAGTTTTGGTCACCACGATGTAAAAAAGATGCTGAGACTCTAGAAAGAGTACAGAGAAGAGCAACAGAGATGATTAGGGGACTGGAGGCTAAAACATAAGGAACGGTTGCTGGAATTAGGTATGTCTAGTTTAGTGAAGAGAAGGACAAGGGGGGACATGATAGCAGTATTCCAATATCTCAGGGGCTGCCCCAAAGAAGAGGGAGTCAAGCTATTTTCCAAAGCACCTGAAGGCAGGACAAGAAGCAATGGGTGGAAACTAATCAAGGAGAGAAGCAACCTAGAACTAAGGAGAAACTTCCTGACAGTGAGAACAATTAATCAGTGGAACAGCCTGCCTCCAGAAGTGGTAAATGCTCCAACACTGGAAGTTTTTAAGAGACTGGACGACCATTTGTCTGAAATGGTATAGGGTTTCCTGCCTGAGCAGGGGGTTGGACTAGATGACCTCCAAGGTCCCTTCCAACTTTACTATTATTATTATTATGTGACCCCGGGACACAGCAACCATTATAAATGTGTGTCAGTTGCTAAGCATCCAAAATTCAATCAGGTGACTGTGGGAATGCTGTGACGGTTGTAAGTCACTTTTTTTCAATGCCGTTGTAACTTTGAACAGTCACTAAATGAATGGTTGTGAGTCGAGGACTACCTGTACTTGGGGGGGGGCCCTGGAAGCCTCTTTAGCTTGGCTAGCAGTCCAAGGCTCTGCAAAGTCACAGCTCTTGCCTTCCTCCCGTAAAAGGTTGAGCCCTTGATGTGCACGCTCAACCTCTTTAACTTTAATCCCGATGAGGAAAGGCATAATGATCCCTAAACAACCAACCTTGTATTAAATTATACTGGAGAGTTTCTTTCTCAGAATTGTGCTGGTGGAAGCAGCACACAGCTCTCCCCTCCCCCAGCAGTAAAGCCCCATTCTCAGGCCCTGGATTAAGGGCCACATGTAGAATAATATAATCACTTATTATTTCTCCTTAATTGGTTTGTATCCTGCTTTTCCATCCAATGTTCCTGAAGTTCAAACATATTAGAAAATATTTTTGATCTATAGATGGGAGATTTAACAAGTTACCCTGTCCCAGTTCCACCATTTATGTTGGCATAAAACATTCCATGCATGGCTAAGAAGATTGAGAGAGTGGTATGCACACGAGAATATTAAGTATTCTGTGTGCTTGAAACATGGGCAATAACTAAGAAGTAGGGAATGAAAAATGCTGGGAAGATCGGTTAATGGGTGGCACATGGGGCTTTCAGAACAGGAGAGAAGAAATAGGCCTTTACCTACTTACTTCATAAGACCACTTATTGTTTTAGCCGAGACCAAGAATAAATAAAATGAACTCGCTTCAACTAGATGGTGGTCCACCCAGGACCTACCAAATGCAATGTATTTATTTTAAGTTCAAAAACAAATTTTCCCATTTTGAGTATCCATGTTCTTTTCCTGGGATAACGTAGTGGTCTCTTAAATTCTGTGGTCCTGAAGCCTGTTTGTCTGTTGCTTTTTCATTGTTCAGTTGATGTTTGGAATAATAATTGTGCCACATTTTATATATGCATTTCCTTCTGGTGTCGCCATCACTCCCTGGAACTGGGGATGTGCTGACTTTGGATCTGAAGCCGAAAAGGTCCTTCAGAGCAGGCATAGGTGCAAGCACACCACTTCTGTGGTGCCTCCATTAAAAAGTGGCATATTTTCTAGGATTCCATAGTGGCCGTGCAATCTGGCAAAACAAAAGCATGAGCGAAGGCCATGCAAACAAGTTGTTTCAGCTTCAGACCAAAGGGGCAGGACATCCCCAATTGCAACTATACAGGGTTTTTTTTTTAATTATACTAAATACCAAGTTGTATGGCCTGCTCAGGATTGGACCAGTTCCTTGCTATTGCGTCTGGCCCCCTACTTTGCCTGCTGGTTTCTTCATTCTTTCTTTCTTTCTTTCTTTCTTTAGGGACGGGCTGCCTCGTCAAGGCAGTGGAGACGGCTGCAGAGCGGGAAGCATTCATTGTGGGCAAGCCCAGCCGATTCATGTTTGAGTGCGTGGCCAGCGAGTTTAAGATTAACCCTGCGCGCACCATCATGGTTGGTGACCGCCTGGACACAGACATCCTCATGGGCAACACCTGCGGGCTGACAACCCTCCTCACTCTCACGGGGGTCACAACCCTGGATGAGGTCAAAGGCCATCTCAACAGTGACTGTCCTGAGCGCAAAAGCCTGGTCCCTGATTACTACGTAGATAGCATAGCAGACCTCCTCCCTGCTCTCACCGATTAAGAAAGGGAGGTGTTCCAGCTCTACAGAGATCTTTCTTCACCCCAAGCCACCCACAGTCTCTTCAGGCTGGTAGTATTTTCTCAGTTACTACGGTGCACACAATTGCTGCTTGCAAAAGTAAGAAGATTTTCATGCGCAGCATTTAAATTGAGTTCTCTGTTTACAGGTTCCTCTTAAAAATGCACTTTGAAAGAAAGAGAGGGAAGTGTGTGTGTGTGTGTCTATCGGCTTACGGACACATCAGCTGTGTCTGGCTGGTGTTCAGGTATCAGGGTAGAGGCCTGTTCAGCTGAGCAGAAGGGACTGAGCAGGCTTCTGTTTAAACCTTGCACTGTGGTGTTTTGTAATGCAATCTTTGGCAATTCAGGGAATTGAGCAGTTTAAGGGCAGCTGCTCTGGTATCTGAGACTTGATTTTAAGATTGGTTTTTATGATTACTTAGGTTCTGGTTCAAATATTTCAGGGGAATGGAAATCATTGTTTATCCATTGGTAATGCTTTTGCTCCTACCCAGTGGCATTTGCATTGCTTTATATGCAAAACAAGAGTTACACCACCATGCTTCATATATTTCTCTAGAAATTCTCTAGAATTTCTGATTATATCTATTTTAAAATATATACATATATTGGTCAAGAAGCGTGTAACAAAAGTCCATTCAGAAATCGGATCATCAGATTGAATCATATTTGAATTACTTGATTAATGTCAGGAAAGACTGCTGAGTTCATTTATCAGTCAGCAATAGTGGGAATTTTTCATGGCAACAGTGAATTTACTAGCATTTTGTTCTTCGGGGTCATAAAGGTTTTTTTTCCTGAAGACATTTTGAAGTCAGTGTTGATGAAGCAACTTACATTAACATATTTAATGCTTCCTGTTGAAATCTTCTGGGTTGATGGTGGGACACACAAAAAATCTTGCAGATCTGCCTTGGCACTTGCTGAAAACAGGTGTACAGACCATTTCGCCTTGTCCGTTTGCAGTAAACGTGATTGCACTTTTCAAGTACTGAAGTAGTTTTCTTCTTGCAGAATCAGTTGCCAGCTTGTCATCTTTAAAATGTACGTAGACAGACATTTTTTAAGAAATTGGGGATCAAGGAAAGATGCTTCTTTTTTGCTTCATACATATTTCAAACAGTTATCTTGCCTCGGCAGCATTTTCAATATTGAAGGTGCTTGAAATTTCTCACTTTTTCATACAGCAATAATTGCGTTGTCTATAGTGGAAGACATTCTGTGGTTATAAATTATGTTAATCTCTCCACCTCTTTCGAAGCGCTAAAAAGTAGATTATTACGTCTTCAAATAATTTTTCTCTTTTTTTCTTTTAAGTTTATCATTTGTAAGTCTAAAGATTGTTCTTTACTTTTGATTATGTAAACTGTGTGAACCAATTTAAAAAGAATGGATCTCTTGGGAGGATTTGTGCTTGGGCAGTTCCAGAGAGATTCAGGACCGTGTCAAATCTACATTAAATGTTTAGATCCTCTGAACAGTTGCTCAGACATGTTGGCCACAAAGTGGAACCGACCATCTGCTTTCATTATATCTTCTTATCAAAGCTGTATTGTAAAACTCCCAAACAGGCGCTGTAGAACTGTTCCTAACTTCAATCCAGACCTTGAGTCATAATTAAACATAACTCTTGCTTCCTTTTTGTGTGTCTGCTCTTTTAATTTTACATTGAAGGATTTTTTTTCCCCTTAAGAGTATTTTAGATGAGACACCAAGGCACAACTACATTGATGTATAAATTGATTTATTGATAGGTTGGATAAGGAGAGATCATGAGCAAAACCTGAAACGGCTGGGGTTACAAAGACATGCATGTTATCACTTCCGTTGGATTGGTTACATCACAGTTATAGTTAATTAATTGTAATGCACTCAATGTGAACACTATGGAACATTCTCTGTCCAGAGGGTCACGTGGCCCCCAGCACTGCTGGCATTTTGTAAGGCTCTAAAGGCCTGGTTCTTTGCCTAGGCAAGCCCCCCCCCCCGTGTGCTCCCTGGGCAATTCAGAGTGCAGATGGTCATCTTTAAAGCAATACAGCAACGGTCCCCAACTTTTGTGGCTTGGCAGCCTGGTTGGGGGGAGGGAACCAGGCTGTGCGAGTGGCGGGCTGGGGTTTGCGGGGCCCAGTTTCAAATCGGTAGTGGGCCGGGAGTTGGAGACCCCTGTTCAAAAGGGGCCATGTGTCCAGGTGAATCACTAGGTTACCTTTCCTCATGGTTTCTGCCCATCTTGCCAGATCTGGCCAGGATGGGCGTGTTTCAGCTCCCCTTTGTGTAATGGTCAACTGGTAGGGGCTAAGAAGCGTCTCTTCTCTCTTATGGTGCCTATCTTACAGAATGGCTCCCCCCACCCAGATAAAGGCCCCTCTCCCCACTGGCCGTCAGAAAAATGGTAAGGACCTGGCTTTTCCCCCAGGCAATGGGGCGAGGATGTTGATGGTGAAGGCGTAGAATGGTCGATGGAGGATGGTGAGAATTATCGACGCCTCAACTTGGCTTGTTTTAAATGATCTCAGCCAGTCCATCTCTTGTAGTAGTTTTTAACGCAATCCATCCCCCAAAAGAGGCAAGGTTTGAGCCAAGCCCATAGTTTGTGGAATTGCAGCCAAAACTATGGTGCTTCTAGATATGGGCCAGCATGTCAATCTCTGTGGAGATGGACGTTGCAGATGAAGTTAGGAATTTTCTCTTCCTCCAAAGAACATCAAATGAATTACAAGCTCCACGAGGGTGTTCTGAGTCCATACAGTAGCTCATCACAAGTTCAGCTGCTGCAGCAGGATATACCTCTGGCAGGAAGAAAGATTCCAAAACCTCACGAAAAGAACAAACAGAATATCTGGCACACCTTTCTCCAATTCTGCCTTGGACACAAGGACCTTCAGAGAAAAAGAATCAAGTCCAGATTATCTAAGGAGGACTCAAATGGTTCTGGATCTGGAGGATCTTGATCTGGAGGAGAGCTTATTTTACTGGACTTAGAGCATTCCTTGCAAGAGACCCACCCCCACCATGAGAAATCTAGATCAAAGATCAGCCAATTCCAAATGAATCCCATCTGAAACTCAATACCCGTTAGCATCCAATTTATTATATCCTAGGTCCCTTCCAAAAAAAATCCACTGGCATATGGTCACTGAGTAAAAAGGATGATCAGTAATCATGGATCCTAGTTGTACTCCACCAGGTTCCAAAAGAAACTTAAGCAATTGTTGGTCCTCCAGTTCCATAGTCCAAATAGATTGGCCTGAAGCAGGAAAATTAAGAAAAGAAGAAGTTTGTAAAACAAAGAGTTGCGCTGGTGTCTTATCAGCAAAGGAACTTTGTAGCCCAAGAGATCTGCACCCACAAAAGAACCTGGCTGAGCCACAGTTACAAGGGAGCTAGCATGCACATGTACACATGCATATATATCAGCATTCATACATAAAGAGCAACTGCGTTCTTTGGGTTCAAGCCTTGCTCTGTTACCACCACAGTCTTTTGGAGGACTAAATGCCCATAGGTCAAGGGTGGCAAACCTTGGTAACTTTAAAACTTGAGGACTTCATCTCCCAGAATTTCCCAACCAGTCCACAAATCTTAAAATTGCCAAGTTGACACCCTCCCATAGATGTTGAGGAGGGGATCAAGCTCAAAAAATAAAGATGGAGGGTTTAACTTCTCCCAAGAAATCCATAGCTCTCCAATATGGTGATGAGATGGGCAGCATATATATTTAATAAATAAAACAGTAATAAATTGTAAAAGAAGTGATTTCTGTAGTACTTAGATGCAGGGCTGTTTTTTAAAGGGACTCTACTGCTTTATTGGGCATTGTCAGGCTGATGTCCCGATTTGCTTTTACAGGATAGAGAATGAAGGGACTTTGGAGATAGAATAGAATAGAGCTGGAAGGGACTTTGGAGGTCTTCTAGTCCAACCCTCTGCTTGAGCAGGACACTCTATAGTCTATACTATTCCAGACAATTGGCTATCTAATCTCTTCTTAAAAGCCTCCAGTGATGGAGCATCTACAACTTCTGAAGGCAAGCTGTTTCATTGGTTGATTGTTCTCATTGTCAGGAAATTTCTCCTTATTTCTAGGTTGCTTCTCTCCTTGATTAGTTTCCATCCACTGCTTCTTGTCCTGCCTTCAGGTGCTTTGGAGAATAGATTGTCCAATATTTAAGAAATTGTCATAGAGATGAGAGGGTCAATCTCTTAAATATTGGAAGACAGCAATGTGGAAGGGGCTGGCCTTGTTCAGAGATTATTTTGATTTTCCAATCTAGCTCATTACTTTTCCGTTTGATCTGAGCCTACTAAAGGTTTTCAAAATCAGCCACAAGTCAACTCCAGGTGCCCAAACTCTTCATGGCTGGAGTTGAAAAGAGAGTGATACAAACCAAAGCTCACCATGTCACCGCTAGTCCTTCTCTTCATTAGACTAGAACCTTGGCTCTTTTATGACTCGTGGACTTCAACTCCCAGAATTCCTGAGCCAGCATAGCTCAGCTTGGAAACCACTCCCTTTCCCCTCAGCATGGCTGGCTCAGGAATTCTTGGAGTTGAAGTCCATGAGTCATAAAAGAGCCAAGGTTGCCTACCTCTGGCCTAGGCCTAGGCCGCTTTATGACTCGTGGATTTCAACTCCCAGAATTCCTGAGCCAGCTTGGGGGAACTATGATCTCCTCATGACTGGTGGACTTCAACTCCCAGAATTCCTCAGCCAGCCTGGCTCAGCTCGGAAACCTCTCCCTTTCCCCTCAGCATGGCTGGCTCAGGAATTCTTGGAGTTGAAGTCCATGAGTCATAAAAGAGCCAAGGTTGCCTACCTCTGGCCTAGGCCTAGGCCGCTTTATGACTCGTGGATTTCAACTCCCAGAATTCCTGAGCCAGCTTGGGGGAACTATAATCTCCTCATGACTGGTGGACTTCAACTCCCAGAATTCCTCAGCCAGCCTGGCTCAGCTCGGAAACCTCTCCCTTTCCCCTCAGCATGGCTGGCTCAGGAATTCTTGGAGTTGAAATCCACGAATCATAAAAGAGCCAAGGTTGCCCACCCCTGGTCTAGGCCTAGGCCGCTTTATTACTTGTGGACTTCAACTCCCAGAATTCCTGAGCCAGCCTGGCTCAGGTTGGAAACCTCTCCCTTTCCCCTCAGCATGGCTGGCTCAGGAATTCTTGGAGTTGAAGTCCACGAGTCACAAAAGAGCCAAGATTGCCTACCCCTGGACTAGACATACCCAGTTCACTAGCAAACTAGAGGGACCGTAGAGCTCAGCTCTTCAGGCACAACAGAGTGAGGACTGGAGGGCTACAGACTGAGGGAATTGTGCCCAGTTTTAATCTTGAGCTGTGGTGTGCAAAAATACTCCTGTCCGAAGGTGGAGAATGAGCAGGCTTGGTATAAAAGCATTCCTCTCCTCCGCCCCACCTCTTGTTATCAGTGAGTATCAGAAGGAGGAGGAAGGCTGGTGTGATCCCTTGCCAGGTATGATTGCTTGGCAAGAGATGAGGGCAGGTGTGCCACAAAAGGATGGCAAAGGATGACAGGCCCGCGTGGCCCAGATCTCAGAGCAGCCTGCCCTGGGAACTCTTGAATCCTCTAGTAGAGCACCAAGGAATGTGGAGAGCTGAGCAGGTCCTGCTGAGGGTTTACGTAGTGTGTGTACAGAGTGCGAATGGAGAGCTTTCTGTGCAATGGGGATACGGTGAGATTTGAGTTTGCATCCTTCCTTTTTCAACTCCAGCCAAGAAGAGTTTGGGCACCTGGAGCTGACCTGGAGCACAATTTTGAAAACCTATAGTAGGCTCAGACCAAACGGCAAAGTTGTGAGCTAGATTGGAAAATCAAAATAATCTCTGAACAAGGCAAGCCCCTTCCACGTTGCTGTCAGGACAGTTGCATTTTGCTAAGGTGACCAACTTTTTTACAATGAAAAGGAGGACACAAATAAATTGAAGAAAAAAATATCGTAAATAAAAGAAACATTTTATTCATTGCAACAATAATACAGACAACTTGCATGTGCAAAGTTTGCCAGTTGGGTGTTTTGGCACACTCAGCAGCAATTCCTATTGGCTTTCGAAAGCCAATAGAGGGAGTAGCACAGCTCATGCAAAAGTTGAAAAAAAAAAAAAAACTATCAAAAAAGGTGCCGGAACGCCATTCTGAGGGTTCTATGAGGGAAAAAAAAAAGCCCTGCAGATTAGTCTTCAAATATCAAAAAGGAGGACATGAAGGAGGACACTTTTTGAGGGAGGACAGAACTTACAAAAGGAGGACTGTCCTCCCTAAAGGAGGACGGTTGGTCACCTTAATTTTGCGCCATCGATGAACCAGGAATCAAAGCGCCTTTTCACATTTGCAAAGGAAATTTGCACACTCAAAGAGGCAGCTGTTGTTCTCTGTTTCTCAAATCAGGAAATGTAGAAGCTTCCTCCCACAAGGGTCTTGCAATCTTGAAAGCGATAGAAGGAGGGGAGAGGTAGAGGAAGAGGAAAGATAGGGGAAACTGAAAGAGGCAACTATTTCACAACAAACATGTTTTTGTGATGTATTGATTGCATCCACACAACTTTCTCAATTTGTTCATTGAATGCACCCAATTTCTGGGTTTTCACAAAAACTAAACCGTAACTAAGCAAAACAGGGCAGGTTGATCGTGCACACAAGCCATTTGAAACAACTCTTCAAACGCCCCGTGCAAATGGGCTCTAGCAAAATGAAGTTCTGGGCGAAAACTATTTCCTTATCTGATGGGTTCTTGTCCCTGAAGTTCCAGAACTGGACACCTCCTTTCCTTGTGCATGGAAACAAATAAGCAAGCGAAAGTGATGGGAGCCACGAGCATCTCTCCAGTGGAAGATGAAGAGCAGAGGAGATGGGCAAGCAGGGCATTCATCCCCCCCCCCCAACCTTTGCTCTCTGGGCCTGGGGGGCAGGCAGCTGCTCTCCCCCAGCCAGGTTCTTCCTACAAGAAAGGGCTGTGGAGCCCTGGAACATCTGCCAGCGTGCAAGGTCCCTGACACAAAGCCCTCGATTGTGCTCCCATGAATGCCTTGGCTGTCTCTCCGGGCAGGGCAGGGCAAGCATCACTGGGGCTTGGCCAGCATCTCTCTGCAGCCCCCCCCCCCTTCCCTCCACCCTCCAGGTAGTCTAGTTTCACCTCCACATGCCTCTGCCCAGGCTGGGAATCCAGGGGCACTGCTCACCTGGCTCTCCTGGGCACATTCTTGAGTTTCCAGCTGGGAGCTCTGGAAATGCAAAGCCTCGACTCAGTCCAAGAAAAGGGAGATCCATCTGGGATGGAGGAGCAGGCCATGGCTCATACGACCCTCTCTCCAGTAAGTATCCTTCCCTCCCCACTAGGTTTGCCCACAGGCCTGATTCCCTGTCGGCAAATGAGGGTCCCATCTTAATGGTAGTGGGTGCTTTTGTGCACCAAAATGGTTTAGAGCTACTGGATTCCCTGAGCTTCATCCAGGGACTGGCTCTATGTTGCTCCGGGGGAGAGAAAGGATGCTGCTTAAGTGAAGCCCCTCCATAACTCCTGGGTCCAGCACCATTCCATAGGTTGAAAACTCAGCAGCTGCTTGAGTTTCCTTCCCCAAGGTAGAGAACCATCTTGGAGGCACCTGCCACAATGTCCCATAAGCAATTCATCCACTCAGGTCATCCACCACCAGATATCTTGGTCTGGCTGATCCTCCACATCTGGAAGGGATCCATTTGGAGAGGCTGAAGGCAGGGCTTTGTGTTGTAGGTGCCATAAGATGAGGGCTCTGTTCTGAGAGCAAATCCCACATTTATCCATTATTGGAAAAGATCACTCAGGTAATTAAGTTTCTTCTTTGCTGTAAGTATTATAAACTCTTTGTATGCGTGTGTATACATTTATATATATTTGTTTTCTGAGGTTTTCGCGGGCGTTTGTATGTAGGTCTTTGGTTATTCGGGTTTTCTCCCACGTAAAATTACATATCTCTCTCTCTCTCTCTCTCTCTCTCTCTCTCTCTCTCTCTCTCTCTATATATATATATATATATATATATATATATATATATATATATATAGAGAGAGAGAGAGAGAGAGAGAGAGAGAGAGAGAGAGAGAGAGAGATGGGCAAAACAATTTGATAACCAAAATAAGTCAATTGGATGCTTCACTTTCTAGGGATACAGGAAGACTGTACAAGTTATAGACTACTTACACGCTGTAGCCAAAACAGTTGGGACAAATTTCTTTAACTTTTGGAAATATCTATAGCTTTTGGAAACTTACTCATCAAGCAATGGAGCTAAAGATTAGTCTAAATTGTCTTGCATAATTCTGACAACATGAACGGAGGAGTTAAACTCTTCCATTGCTGTGCTTTTCACATAGCTCAAAAGCAAGTGTGCAGATATCTTTAGTGCTTAATCCCTTTGTCCCAGTCCCAAAAGAATGCTGCTACACATGATGGTTATCCATGAAAGCAACCATGGAATCCAAGCGCTTCTGAGAACTGGTTTCCCTTTTCCCCGTTTAGGAAAGACCCCCTCCAGCAGAATCCCACAGCCCCACCAGGGTATTTGGGGCTATCCTCTCCATTACGTTGGCCTGTGGAATTATCTGCATCACGGTGGCAGCTACTGTCAGCTTCACCCAGGCTTCGCCCAAGGTAAGACATGGCTTTATGCCGGAGTGCTGTTAGTCACCATTCTCAATTCAGCAACCTGCTGAAGTCATCTCACTGTGTGTTGCGTTTTTATAGCCTCTTTTGCAGGTAATGCGATTAAACTTCCAGAATCGCCCGGGATCCTCAATGAACCAGTCAGTGGTGGTCAGCAAGGCGAAGAACACCATCACCTACTACATCACGTCTTCTAGCAACCAAACCACCGCCATCTTGTTCGACTGCAAGAATGTGAGCAAGTGGGCTGCCTTTCCCAGTAGAAGGGGAGAAAGTGTGTAAGGCACACGTGGACAGGATGGGTGGGAAGAGTGCACAAACAATGATTTACTCAAAAAGACTTTCCTGTTATGCAATGTTGGGGTGCCCTGGCCAGAACATGTTTGCACAACTGGCACAAAAGGGTGTCAGGCATGAACAACCAGACCCACAAGGATAAGTTTAAATTCGCTACTTTATTGGTTTCTGTCTATAATATAGAAATCTCCCCAGACTGGCAGCTTTTGCCTCGGAAAGACCAGATAAAGCTCAAAGGCTTTGAGGAGGGGAGGAGGAACAGACCGTGCCCTTTTGTATTTACACAGTTAAGCCCAAGCTAATTTCCTGCTTGACTCCTCCTCCCAACAGGGACTATAACTCTCCAATTTCAGAAAAGGCTGATGGTCCTCGACTTACAATCATAATGGAGTCTGCCCATTGTGATCGTAAGTTATGACAATTGTAAAGCGTGTCACCCACGTGACTGACCCAGTCTTGCTACCTTTTTTGTGGCAGTTGTTAAGCAAATACCATATTTATTAAGCAAACTGGTTGCTTTTGCTAAGGGCCTGGAAATAAATGCTAGTTTGAGGCAAAAACATTGTAAAATGTCACAAATGAAGGCAAATCTACACGTCCCAGGATAATGTTGCAGGATAATCTGGGTCGGTCCCTTTTAGTCTTCCGAGCTTTCGGACTCACATGGCAGCCCATCCTCGTGGGACTTCTCACTAGTCAGGGATAGGCAACCTTGGCTCTTTTATGACTCATGGACTTCAACTCCCAGAATTCCTCCGAGCTTTCGGACTCACATGACTCGTGGCAGCCCATCCTCGTGGGACTTCTCACTAGTGCAGGGATAGGCAACCTTGGCTCTTTTATGACTCATGGACTTCAACTCCCAGAATTCCTGAGGCAGCATGGGGGAACTCTGGCCCCTTCATGACTTGTGGACTTCAACTCCCAGAATTCCTGAGCCAGCATGGGGGAACCCTGGCCCCTTCATGACTCGTGGACTTCAACTCCCAGAATTCCTGAGCCAGTATGGCTCAGTTTGTAAACCTCTCCCTTTCCCCTCAGCATGGCTGGCTCAGGAATTCTGGGAGTTGCGAAGTCCACGAATCATAAAAGAGCCAAGGTTGCCTACCCCTGCACTCGCGGAATGTGACTGCAGGTTTCTGAGCACCCAAAATGCAGCCATGTGACAATGGGGAACTGCTTTGTAAGAGTCGTGGTGGCACAGTGGTTGAAGTGCAGTATTGCAGGCTAACTCTGTCCACAGCCTGGAGTTTGATGCTGACCGATTCAAGGTTGACTCAGCCTTCCATCCTTCAGAGGTCGGTAAAATGAGGACCCAGACAGATTCTTGGGGGGAATATGCAAATAATGCTCCTACACTGTAAACTGCCCAGAGAATACCCTAAAACTCTTATGGGACAGTGTATAAGTCTAAACGCTATTGCTATTATAAGTACCTCTAGGGAGGTCCATCGTAATTTTCAACGGTCGCGAAGTGACCGGGCATAAGTCAAGGTCTACCTGTGATTGTGTCCATCTCACAGGGATGTGGGGAGATGGAAGAGGCGCGTCCTGTTAACAGCTGGGTCTTCAGCAATTTTTAGGAATGGACAATGAGATGTGAAGGGCGATGCCCCATTCTGGCAGCACCTGGCTGGGATTCTATGTTGGCAGCCAGATCTAGGCCAGCAGGGGTCAGTCAATTGCCCCTCGATGGCTCTGGCTGCTGCTGCTAGCCCCCTCCCCAGAAGGAAAACAAGGCTTGCTGCTCATTGGACCCCCAACCCCCGCCCTGGGACAGAGTTAAGACTCTTGTCTGACAGGCCCACTTGATCCCCCACACCCCAAAACCTGTGAGAGTCCCCAAAGCCTTTTCCTGCTCCCCACATCTGCAGCATATTTGAAGGGCAGAGATGCAGAGTTCAGTTTCCAGTCAGGCCACCTGGAAGGTCATTTATTTATTGATATAGAAAATTTATATGGCTGCCCAACTCAGTCGCGGTGACTCCCGACAGCTTACACAGAAGTAAGCTGTTCTTATTCTCGATCTGTTTCTTTGCTGAGGCAAGTGAACCACACCAGGCCAGGCTGGGTCTTTGGCACATGGGAAAGGCAGCTCCCAAGCTGGTCTGGTGTAACCCAAGGATGGGTGGGGGGCTTTAATGGACCTCATGCTTTGCCTGGTTCTCTGTGCAGGGCTACGTCTGCTATAAGCTGTCGGGGCACAGCAACTGCTACCTGAAGAGGATGAATGCCCAGGATCAGGAGGTTGCCCAGGCCTCCTTCAACCTATCAAAGCACAAGGTGAGTGCCAACAGCCGAGCCTGGGAAAAAGAATTCAGCCAATTCATGTGTCTGTCCATCCCTCCCATCCCTCCCTCCCATCCATCCCATTAATCCATCCATGCATCCCTCCCTCCCATCCATCCATCCATATCCACCCATCCCATGCCTCCCTCCCATCCCATCCCACCCCTCCTTCCCATTCCATTCCATCCCATCCCTCCTTCCCTCTCTCCCTCCATCCATATCCATCCATCCCATCCCTCCCTCCCATCCCTCCCACCCCTCCCATCCCATCCATCCATCTCTATCCATCCCTCCCATCCATCCATCTATCCATCCATCCATATCCATCCCACCCTTCCCTCCCATCCCATCCCTCCTTCCCATCCATCCAATCCATCCATATCTATCCATCCATCCATCCCACCCACCCCTCCTTCCCTCCCATCCCATCCTATCCATCCATCCATCTCATCCCTCCCTCCCTCCCTCCCTCCCTCCCATCCATCCATCCATCCATCCATATCTATCCATCCCTCCCATCCATCCATCCCATCCATCCCATTAATCCATCCATCCCTCCCATCCATCCATCCATCCCACCCATCCCTCCCTCCCTCCCTCCCATCCAATCCATCCATCCAGCCCACCTCTCCCTCCCATCTATCCATCCATCCCATCCCTCCCTCCCTCCATACATATCCATCCCATCCCTCCTTCCCATCCATCCAATCCATCCATCCATCCAATCTATCCATATCCATCCCTCCATCCATCCTCTCCTCCTCTCAGCATGAGGGCTGCTCTTTGGGGCAAAGCACTGTCTCTTGCCAGGCAGCTCTGAGTGCAGGGGAAGGCCAGTCTCCCAGTGCTGAAGGGCATTAGGCAACCGGTTTCCTTCTCCAAAAATGCATCACTCCATTAATCAGTTACGGCTTGCCTCAGTTGCTGAACCCTCTCTAGGCTGTGTGCAAAAAACCTCCACGATTAAAATAGGTATCATGCAGCCTTAGTAGGCTGGTGGAGAGATTGTTGCTTCTCTCTCAAAGCAAAATGGCCCTTCACGCCCAGGAGCAATATGAATGTCAGGAGTGTGTTCTTGGGACCAGTGCATGAAGCCCAGGTTGCATCAGAACTTATTTACTTTTTCTACTGCTAGAAGCTCAACTAGCTGGTGGTTTCAATTTCCTCTTTCTCTTTTCTGAGTTTGTGTGGCACTTTTAACTCTCTCCAGGGCTTGCTGTCACTTGTTCTAAAGCAAGTTTGTTCAACCTTGGCAACTTTTAAAACTGGAGGACTTCGACTTCCAGAATTCTCCAGCCAGCACAGCTGGCTGGAGAATTCTGGAAGTAAGTCCTCCAGCCTTAAAGTTGCCACAATTGGACACCTCGGGTCTAAAGGAAATTTTTCAAGAAGTGCTTGAAATCCGCAGAGGTAGTAAAGCTTATAGTAGTAGTAAAGTTGGAAGGGACCTTGGAGGTCATCTAGTCCAACCCTCTGCTCAGGCAGGAAACCCTACACCATTTCGGACAAAGGGCTGTCCACTCTCTTCTTAAAAACTTCCAGTGTTGGAGCATTTACCGCTTCTGGAGGCAGGTTGTTCCACTAGTTAATTGTTCTGTCAGGAAGTTTCTCCTTAGTTCTAGGTTGCTTCTCTCCTTGATTAGTTTCCACCCGTTGCTTCTTGTCCTGCCTTCAGGCGCTTTGGAGAATAGCTTGACTCCCTCTTCTTTGTGGCAGCCCCTGAGATATTGGAACCCTGCTATCATGTCCCCCCTCGTCCTTCTCTTCGTTAAACTAGACCTACCCAATTCCAGCAACCTTCCTTATATCATTGAATCAGCTGCCTCCTGAATTGGGCTGGCCCTAGTTGACCGGCATCTCAGGCCAGCCCTGAGCCCCGAGCCTCAAGCAGCCTTGGCTGAAGCACCCCAAGAAGAAGGCCAAGACTTACAGCATTTATCCCTCATTGTGAAATTGTGCCCTTCTGCATACAACCCCCACTTGCAATTTTACTGGCCATCTGCAAAGGGAGGAGGGGAGAGAGAGAGACCATTTGGTGCAAGGCCTCCAAATGTTGGAAGGGCAGTTTCTTGCCCCTCTCAAAACTGAGGGAAAAGTGGGAGGGGGTCTTGGCTTGCCCATGGGCTTAACCCACTTTGAAAAGCATCTTTATAGCCCAAAATGGTGTCATGTGAAACCCCTTTAATATTGTTGGAAGGCTCCAACTCTGGCCCCGGCCCCCCAGCCATGGCTCATTCCTGAACTGGGATAGGATGATCAGTTATCCCCTAATAGAAAAGGAATAGATCAGTGGTGGCAAACCTATGGCACGGGTGCCAGAGGCGGCACTCAGAGCCCTCCCTATAGGCACGCGCGCCATCGCTCCAGTCCTAGGCCTTCAGCTGGGTTTTATAAAACCTTTTCGCTTTAGGCCTCCGCTGCCATGTGCAAAAAAAAAAAAAAAGGTTCAATCAATCAATCAATTTCAACTTCTCGCGGGGGGGGAAAAAAAGATCTTGCAAAGTTGAAATTGATTGAACTTTTTAGTCCCACCCAGTCTGCTGTTACCACCGCAGCCACGCCCACCCAATGAGCCACACCCACCCAATGGGCCACGCCCACCCAATGGGCCACACCCACCCGGCACCCAACGATGCATAAGTGGGTTTTGGGTTGCAGTTTGGGCACTCGGTCTCTAAAAGGTTTGCCATCACTGGAATAGATAATATTCGGAGGGGGAGGGTGTGGTTTGCAACTCATTGCTGGCTTTGGCCAATTCCCGTAAGGTGAGCAAACAAAGCTGCATTGTCCGAAGTGCTGCCGCTGCCGCCGAAGTTGGAGCGAGGGCACTTAAGGTGTGGAGGGCAGAGGTCTGGTTTCGGGAAGACAGTGGGCCCTCTTTGCGGCAAATGTCAGAAAGAAGCCGGCTGGGCTCAGGTTTCTGCTCTGCCCGTTCAGGAGTGGGCGCGCCTCACCCAGGCAGCTAAGATGCCTCCAGAAGCAGAGAGGGAGGGAGGGGGGAATGCAGTGCACCTGCTGGCATATCCCACCCCCTGGATTTCCAGCTCTGGGAAGCCTCAGGGCCTCTCCCGAAATGGCAACCCCAGCCAAGGAATTTCCAAACTGAAAAAGCAGAGTAGCGGAGTGGGAAGGGACCTTGGGGGGTCTTCTAGTCCAGGGGTCCCCAATCTATGGGCTGTGTCCCACTACTGGGCCAAGGCCTACTGGCCACCAGGCCGCAAGACAGGCTGTCTAGTGCGTGCACGTCTGTGTGTGCGCACTGACCCCCACTCGCGCTAGCGTCCGCGGACCCATTTGCACACGCGCATGGGGCTAACAGTGGCGGCTAGCGCCTGTGCAAATGGAGCCGCTAGCGTGCACGGGTTGATAGCGGCAGCGCATGGTTGATAGCGGCAGCGGCTAGTGCCTGTGCACGTGTGCAAATGGGGCTGCTAGCGCAGTGCAGGTTGCACATCCTGTTTGCACATGCACGTGGGTGCTAACTGCAGCAGCGGCTAGCACCTGCGCAAACTACGCTCCTAGCCCTGTGCAGGTGCATGTGGCCCCATTCGCTTGGGGCTCCATTTGTGCGCATGTGCGCACACCAATTTCCCTTTCCCTGTGGGCCGCCAGCATGAAAAGGTTGGTGACCTCTGTTCTAGTCCAACCCCCTGCTCAAGCAGGAGACCTTATACCAGGGGTCCTCAACCTTGGCAACTTTAAGACTTGTGGACTTCAACTCCCAGAATTCTCCAGCCAGCAGGGCTGGCTGGAGAATTCTGGGAGTTGAAGTCCACAAGTCTTAAAAGTCGCCAAGTTTGGAAACGCCTGGGTTAGAAGAATAGAAATCTCTGCGGCCTAGACAGCACTCCCAGGACTGCACTGGCCTTTGAACGCTTCTTTTGGGGGGAAATGAGGCAGGCAGGCCAAGAGGGCTCAGTTCGCCAGGGCCTCTTCCGGGAAGCGCTTCCCGTAGAGCAGCGGCCTGGAGCGCGGATCCTGAAGGACGCAGAGGCTGAGCGGGCAGTCTGGGCCTGGAACCACCCTGAGGTACTCTCCCCATCCTTCCTTTCTCTGCCAGGAGGATCCACCACTGCTTCCCAGCCACGGTTCCCAATACTACCGTGAATTCCTGGGGGTCGTGCCAGGGAGCATGGTCCAGCCAGCGGAGGCCGGCGAGGCTGCCCGAGCCCTGTGCGAGGTGCCCATCCGCTGGGTGAAGAAGAAAGACGGTAAGTTGGTGGGCGCAGCCATGGCAAAGCCCCCAGGGAATCTCTGCTCCCTCTGAGTTGCAACTGAAGCTGAATGGTGCCCATTAGGTGTGCCAATGCTGGCGTTTGTTGGGAGCTGCTGGCAGCAACATCTGGGCATCCAGAGGCTGCCTTCCTGAATGAAGGCACCCTGGAAAGAGCAGGGAGGGTGGGCGCCATCTCCTGGCCTCCGTCCCTGGCACAGGCCACGTGGTTGGAGCAAGGACACACAAGTTGGAACACAGCCAAGTTTATTTAATTCAGTGGTTCTCAACCTGTGGGTCGGGACCCCATTTGGGGTCGAACGACCATTTCACGGGGGTCGCCAAACAAGGCTGACCGCCATTTTTTTCCCCTTTTCTTTGGCCACTCCTCTGGCACCCAGTGATGTATAAGTGGTTGGGGGTCACCACCACATGGGAAACTGTATTATGGGGTCGCGGCATTCGAAAGGTTGAGAACCACTGATTTAATTCACCTGAGGTAAACCAGGCAGAAGAGAGCACATCTGGCCTAGTGGTTTAAGGCACCAGGCTAGAAATTGGGAGTTCCTGCCTAAGGCAGAAAGCCAGCTGGCTAATCTTGGGCCAGTCCCTCACTCTCAGCCCTGGGAAGGAAGAAATGGCAAGCTACCTCTGAAAAATCTTGCCAAGAAAACTGCAGGGACTTGATCAGGCAGTGGCCAGGAGCCAACAATGACTCAAAAGGACACACACACACACACACACACACACACACAACCAAAGCACAAACCACCTTATACTTTGAGAACGTTGTAGGTGTCAGTGAGCGGAGGAAATGGGTTGAATCTAATCCAGAACCTCTTTGCACTCTGAATCCTCCTGAAACTCCCAGGAGTCAGCATTGCTTGACCGAATGGGATCCCTCCTCCTGGGAAGGTTGGCCACGGTGGCTTCACGTATGGGAGCATTAGCGGCCTAAACCAGTAAAAACTGGTATCTAGAGCCAAGTCCCCAATCCTGGGCCACAACCTGGTACTGGGCCGCGGCCCATTCAGAACCAGGCCACGCAAGGGGCAGGTGAGCGCGTGCATGCAGCTCCATTTGCGTGACCAGCGGGCATTTGCGCAGCCATTTTCATCCCCCACCCGCTAATCTAGAGCAGCGGTTCTCAACCTGTGGGTCGGGACCCCGTTTGGGGTCGAACGACCATTTCACGGGGGTCACCAAACAACGCAGTCCGCCATTGTTTTCCCCTTTTCCTTAGCTGTGCTACTCCCTTCTATTCTATTGGCTTTTGAAAGCCAATAGAATAGTCTCTCTTGAATAGAGTCTAATTCCAAAGCCAATAGGAATTGTCCAGGCTGTCTCTGCCCTGCTGAGCCCGCCAAAAGCCCCAGTCTGCAAATGGTGCTGCACCAGTTGAGTAGTCCTCAACTTGCGACCGGTTGAGTAGTCCTCGACTTACGACCGGTTGGGGGTCACGGCATTAAAAAGGTTGAGAACCACTGATCTAGAGGGTCTTACAATTAAAACAAAGTCTGGGGGGCTTCCTCCAGATGAGCAACCCCCAATGCAGCCTGTCCCTGCTTTGGATAAGCTTTCTAGCTTATCCAAAGGACGCTGTTACACCCCCCCCCCCAAAAAAAGACCCCCACCTCTCCACACACTCTTGTGCTCCTCACAGATCCTCCAAAGCAGAGGCTCATCTACCTGTGCATTGATATCTGCTTCCCAAACAACATCTGTGTCTCCATCTGTTTCTACTATCTTCCTGAGTGAAGCTCCAAAGAGACCGACTTCCGTGCTTCGGCTCGGCTGTGTTTGAATCGAATCAGAACTTGAGGTCCTCCACGTCCCTGTGCTCAGCCCAAATCCTCCAGCCTCCCAAGAGAGCCCACCTTCTAATTCAGAACTCCAGACCAGCCAGAAGAAAAACAACTCCACTTACATGCTCATCTTGTGCTCACCACTATATATATATACATACATTTATGAAGTTTGTCGCTTTCAACTGTAACATGTAAATAATTACTTCTGATAGAAGTAGCTTTATGGTGAAGGTAAGATCCATACAAGCATTATGTGAAAAAAAAAAACACAACTCTTTTTTTAAAAAAACATCATGTATGGGATGCTCTGATTTGGGATGTGAGCATGTCGGGTCAGAGAGAAAAGTCTGCCCTTGGATGACGAGGCTTCCCTGAAGATTTGGGCCAACCTCTTATTTTAAGCCCGATGACCCAGCTGGGCTGCCTGGCAAAGGGAGGGCCAGAGTGTAGCCTCTCCTGCAGGCAGTGCCCACAATTACTCTGGAGTCAGTGCCAGCTCCCAAATGAAGCCTCCTCTAGCCTGGGGTCTGGGTGAGAGGACGGGGGCGAAAAAGGAGGCCTCGGAAAGTTGACCCAGCTCACCCCAGAGCAGTGTTTCTCAACCTTGACAATTTTAAGGCATGTGGACTTCAACTCCCAGAATTCCACAGCCAGCATTGCTGGCTGTGGAATTCTGGGAGTTGAAGTCCACATGCCTTAAAATTGTCAAGGTTGAGAAACACTGCCCCCGAGCCCACAAGAGTCTTCCTAGAGGCAGCCAAGACAAAGATGCCCATCACTGCCAGGGAAAGGGCAGCTTCCCCGCTTTAGTCTAAAACGGGTAGGCTATGCTGGCTCAGGAATTCTGGGAGTTGAAGTCCACGAGTCACAAAAGAGCCAAGGTTGCCTACCCCTGGTCTATATCCATGCTGGTTTTAAGGAGGCGCTTCCAATGGGGAGCACAAGAGAGGCCAGACAACAGCACCGGCCAGTTAAAGCCAAAGGGCTGAGACCCTTCGTGCAGCCTCGGTCGAGGTAGACTGGGCTCCGCTCCGTTTGCAGAAACAAGCCAGGGGCCAAACGGGAATCCTCTCTTCCGCCCAGGAGGCAGACCGGCTGGCGAAGAGGTGCCGTCCCCCCCCCAGCTTGCTCCTCAGCCCAACACGCTGTCGTTGAAAGCCAGACAGACGACCGCCTTCTGATGCCCACTGTATTCTCTCTTGATCTCCCCCGTCTCCACACACCAGAGCCGGGCCAAGTTGTCTGACGAGGCTGCAGGGGGAACAAGAGAGTTCAGGGGGGCGGCAGCACCAATTCTGGGAAGAGAGGGACAGATGGCCAAAGGCTGGCCGTTGCTCTAGAACAGGGCTGTCCAAACTTTTAAGACTTGTGGACTTCCAACTCCCAGGATCTCCCAGCCAGCCAATCTGGGCGGGGAATTCTGGGAGTTGAAGTACACAACTCTGAAAGCTTTGCTGGCTGGAGAATTCTAGGAGTTGCGAAGTTTGGAGACCTCTGTTCTAGAAGGGTCCAATCCTTGCCAAGTCCTCCTGCGGCATATTGCAAGATCCCCCCCCCCCCCAGAAAACAGCTAGGCCGTGTTTTTAAGAGCTTGAGCAGGGGTAGTCAATCTTGGCTCTTTTATGACTCGTGGACTTCAACTCCCAGAATTCCTGAGCTAGCCACACTGAGGAGAAATGGAGAGGTTTCTAAGCAGAGTCATGCTGGCTCAGGAACTCTGGGAGTTGAAGTCCACGAGTCATAAAAGAGCCAAGGTTGCGTACCCCTAGTCTAGGCTGCTTCATGACTCGTGGACTTCAACTCCCAGAATTCCTCAGCCAGCATAGCTCAGCTTGGAAACTCTCCCTTTCCCCTCAGCACGGCTGGCTCAGGAATTCTGGGAGTTGAAGTCCACGAGTCATAAAAGAGCCAAGGTGGCCTACCCCTGAGCTTGAGGGAACTCAGTTTGTCCAGCCTTCTGACATCAGTGAACGTCAGGGGGCGCAAGATGGCAGCCCCTCCAGTTTTCAAAGGGGAGTCCCACAAAAGGCAAACTATCCCTCTCATATCCCGGAGTGTTGGGTGCAGAAGAACAGATGCGGGTTCTAAGGAGGCAGATTTCAAGAGTTGGAACACACTTCCTAACAGGAAGGACAGTATGAGAGGGTGGAAACCTGGAGCCAGGGTGGAGGGGCCTCCACTGAATGGGCTCAAGCAGAGACTGAACCAATCTGCCTGCACTGATTTTGTGTGGATTCCTGCACAGAGCAGGGGGTGGACTTTATAGCCTCAAGGGCCCCTCCAGCTCTAGGATCTTAGGCCTTAAAGAACATCCCAAAGCCCCCAAGACCAGTTCATGTCTTGCCTCTACAACAGGAGCAAAATATGGGGCTGGCCCGTGCATTGCTCCTTTTCTCCTTTTCCCAAATACGGGATAATACAGGTAGTCTTACAACCATTTGTTTTATGACCATTTGAAATTGCAACAGCACTGAAAAAGGTGACTGGTGACTATTTTTCACACTTATGACCGTTGCAACATCCACGTGATCACCTGACTGAAATGCAGGCACTCGGCAACTAGCTCATATTATGACGGTTGCCGTGTCCCCGGGGCTCACGTGATCCCCTTTGGTGACCTGACAAGCAAAGTCAATGGGAGAGCCAGGTTCACTTCACGACCGCGTTGCTCACATGACAACTGCAGTGGTCCATTTAACAACTGTGGCAAGGTCGTAAAGTGGGGCAAAACGCCCTTCACAACGGTATCGCTTAGCATCAGAAAGTTTGGGCTAAACTGTGGTCACAAGGGAGAACAGGTGTGTTCAAAATGCTATTATATTTTGGGCAAAAGGGAAAAGGAAGAGATGCATCGGCTCTTCCCTGCCCCAGGATGGCAGGTGGGCCTGTGGGCTCCGCCCTTCTCACCTGTGACAATGTACTGGGAATCCCCCGAAAAGGCACAGTCCCACATCCAGCCGCGGGAGGTCTCCCCGGGGTTGTTGCTCTTGATGCTCAGCTCCGTCATCAGTGAGAAGTTGGAGGTCCTCCATATTTTGCACGTCTGGTCAGCAGAGCAAGTGGCCAAAAGCCTGGAGAAGGGAGAAAAAGCAAACACCGCTGAAGGCAGGAGCCTGACAGGTCCGGCCCATTATTCCAAATCGGAGCAGGTTTGGCCCCTTTTCTGGCCTTATCTGAGGAACTGGGAAGGATTTCCCCACCTCTTTGGAAGGAAGCTGGTCCAAGGTGGGTCCGGGATCTATAACTGGACAGATCAAGAATTGGCAAAGAAGATGAAAGGAGCTACTAGATCAGGCCCCCAAATTCAGGGTAGATCTGCATCTCCTAATATGGCTTGGGAGTCCTCCTCAACTATCTCCTTTGGAAAAACCTGCCTCTCTCCCCATGCCCATGCCTCCCTCTCTCTGCCAGCTTGTCCCACCGCTTGAGGCTGGACTGGGCAGGGCAAGAAAGAGGGACCCCCTGCTCCCCACCCAGTTATGACTGGATCTGAGTTCCAGATCAGCTTTTACAGCAGTGAAGTCTGGAGCGCAGCAGGGGCTGGACAGAGAGTGCCAGGAGATGCCACCCAGTCACGACCATAGCTCAGCCCACCTATTGCATGCCAACACGATTCCTCTTGTCCGAGCTTGGTCTGCCAGGCCAATATTTCTCCTCCCCCTCCCCAGGAGGGAAGATCCCTCCTTTTCCAGGGCCATGAAAACAGAGCAACACCACCAATTACTCACGTGGAATCCGGGCTGAATTTGCACTGGAGTGCATAGCGGTTGTGTGCAGGGATCTTGGTCTTGGGGATGAGCTGGGTTACCTCATCTCCAATGCCTCCCGTGAGATTCCACACGTAACAGTTGCCCTGCGAGAGGAGAGACGGCTGAAAGCATCCGGTCCGCTGGCTCTACGCCATGCTGAAGGCTAACCGTGGAACTCACCAAGTCCAGGACAGGCTATCCTTACCGAGCTGTTGACCGCAGCCATATAGCTGGCATCCGGATCTATATGTACCGCATTGACCGAGACCTCTGGCTCTGGGATGAGCTGCTCGTTGTGGTCCGTTTTCAGATCCCAGATGTGGATAGCGCCGCTCTGATCTCCCACAATGAGCTCAGCCTGGGAGGATACAAAGCAAGGGAGCTGTTGGTCCTGCCACTCCTGCACCCTCTTCCCCCATGCAGCAAAGAGGAGGGGATACCTGGTTGGGATGCAAGCAAACGCAGTTGATGGGCGCGTTCACCTGGAAAATGCGCTGGCACTGAAGATTGCGAGACCTGAGACAAGACACAAAGGACGTGACGGGAGAGTCAACGGACTGCTGAGACCGCTTGCACTCCAGGGAGCCTCCAAAGAGCCTCTGCTTAACAGTGATGGCCATCATGCTGTCAAAGACTACTCTGGCACAGCCGTCCTTGCCTTCCTTAAACGGCTGCATTTCTTAAAAATTCATTACTGAGCTGCCTACTGCACGCTCTCCTTCCGCAACAGGTTGGCTCAAGAGGGACCTTATCAGGTGCAGATGCCAGATGGCAAATGCTTTTGTCAGAATAAGTATATATATCTTTAAGGGGACACCAGACTCTCTAGTTCAGGCGTGTCCGACCTTGGCACTTTTAAGACTTGTGGACTTCAACTCCCAGAATTTACCCCTGCCTTAGCGCTTGTGCTTCAGTAGGATATCTGCCCCCTCCAGGAAAACCTTGAAGCATTCAGGCCCTCAAATTTCCAAGACGTATTTTTGAATCCTACAATGGGCAGGGTTTACTCATTAGCTTCCTTCTCTCTTCACCCCTTCATTTTTCGGCAAAACTGAAAAACAGCAACCTCAGGAAGGCACTTTTGAAAAAAAGGAAAGAAATTCACCAAAACTGCTACTGAGGTGCCTCCAATACAGATTCTGCTCACAGGCGAGGGAAAAAAAACTACAACTCAAACTCAACCCGACAGAGGAATATCTCCGTCGTTTTGGTATTGTTTATTATCATGCTAAGAAACTTCTCACTCAGAGCAGCTTCTCACCCCACTGGTTTCAAAGCTGCCCAGCCTTCGTTTGGACTCTCTGACCTACGATGGGATGCACAGGCCCACCAGGAGGGAGCATCCCACTCAGGCTGAACCTGTATCTATGCTGGCAGTGCCTCATGGGGCTTATGGGTTTCAACTGTCCTCTTTAAATTGTAAGAAGGACCCAACTTTTAACAAGGTAGCAAAATCTTACAAGATCTCTCTCAATGCACCTATGTAAGATCTCATGAAATTCGGGCACTTCCTTTTCTAAATCATCCTCTGATCAGTTTTACTCCTTTCCCCACTGTCTGGAGAAGGGGTGTCAAACTCAATTTCATTGAGGGCCGCATCAGCATTGTGGTTGCCCTGGGGGGGGGGAGGTGGGTGTGACCAGGGTAGGTGTGGCCTACTGGGTGGGCGTGGTCAGATCTACATCATTCACGTCAAGGCTGCCTGTGGGGGCCTGGGCAGGAGTGGGACAGATCTGAGAGTCTCTGGCAGAAGGGGGTGGGACCGGGGCAAGCGCCAATGCATGGTCCACTGGAGGAGCCTGCTGAAACCCCTTCCCCAGAGCCCATCAAGCCGGATATGTGAACTAGGCGAGGGCCATTTGCTGGCCACTTCCAGGCAATGGTGCATTTCTTCATTCCTCACAAAGGGTGACACCTCCCCAGCATGCACCCAGGGGGCTGGGCCTATGCAGCAGGGGCTGGTTCCTCGCTGTTTCCATACGGCCTTGTGGAGCTAAGATTGAATGCGTTTCAGCATAGATGGCCACCACAAAATTGTACATTGGCTCCCAGCCGGCCTGGGCCAGGGTCAAGGCAGCAGGGGCCATTCCCTCACTGTTTCCAGGATGGCTTCGCGGGCCGCATCCGGCCCCCAGGCCTTGTGTTTGACATGTCTGGTCTGGAGCGTGCAAAGGTGCCCATCGTGTGGGCAAAACGTGCACCTGACTCCTCCTCAGCTGCCCCCTTTCCATGCCTGCCTGTTTAGGGTCGGTCTTGGAAAGATACGAGATCAACAACCAAAGTCCCACCGGAGGTCCCAGATGCGCGCCATGCAGTCTTCGCCCCCCGTGTACATCCACCGGCCGTCTTCATGGAAGCCAACCGAAGTGATGTTCTTGCTCACCCCATCGTAGTTGATCACCGGGTTGGGGTTATTGGAGTTCAAGTCATACATGCGGATGTGCTGGTAACCTGGATCACAAACACCGACTAGTTCATGAGGAGTCAAAGCAAGAAAACAGTTTCACACAGAGAGAAACAGCACTCAGTCAGCGTTAGGCTCCCTCTGAATTCTCAAAAGGATTGAAACAGCTGCTCTCACCGACCAATGATCTGAGACTGAAGGTCACTTGTCACTAGACTTCATCCTAACCTGGGTAATCAACCTTTCACTACAATTCACCTAACTGCCTGGGAGCTGCACCCTTGTTTCTTTTTTAAAAAATGAATGAAGTTACAAGGATTATAATAATGACAGTATTAAACCATTACAGGCGGTCCTCAGCCCACTACCATAACAGAGCCTCCCCTCATGGCTGCAAGTGGTGGCAATCTTTAAGTATTCGGAGACTACAGTTGGTCCAGAATGCAACCGCGCGAGTGATAGCGGGTGCTCCTCGGTACACCCACGTTACACCTATCCTCCGTGAGCTGCACTGGTTGCCTATTGGTCTTCGGGTCCAATTCAAGGTGTTGATTATTACTTTTAAAGCCAAATATGGCTCAGGGCCAGGCTACTTGCGAGACCGCCTACTACCTCATAGTTCCCTTCGTCCAGTTAGATCCCACAGGCTGGGCCTCCTTCAGGTCCCGTCGGCCAAGCAGTGCCATTTGGCGGGGCCGCGGAGGAGGGCTTTCTCTGTGATGGCGCCCACGTCTTGGAACCAGCTCCCCCTGGTTGTTCGGGAATTTAATCAGGATTATTGGTCTGCAGAGCCCTTGAGACACTGTTTTTGGCAGGGCCCAGAGCCGTCTTTCTTTGCAGCGATGCCCAGAGCAGGGGTCCCCCACCCCGAGGCTGCAGCCTATGCACAGCACAGAACAAGTCTCCCCCCAACCGGTCTGCAAAGCCGGAAAGGTCAGGACCCCCGGCCCAGAGCACAAGAGCAGCCTAAACCCCAGTGGCTCCCCCCGGCCCCGGCCCAGAGAAGCCAAGCCGGCCGGCCCTCCGCCCCCACCCCCCGGCCTCCCGTCCTCGCCTACCTGCCGCGGCCACCATGGTGCGGTCCGGCGTGATCTCCAGGGCGTTGACCTGCTGCGGGCGAGTGGGGGTTAAGGAAGCCGGCGGGGTTATTTTATGGAGACGATGGATAGAATATGCTCAGAAGAAATATGGAACTACAAGTTTCATTTATTTTATGAGTAATGGATTTGTTTATAAAATTATGATGTTAAAGTCTGAAGAGAGTTAAGGGTTAGTATGATTTTGGTTATTTTATAATTAGTAAACTTAAATAGATTATGTTTAATATGTTTGTATAACCTTGTACTTGGCTCTGGGAAGTGGGGGGGGCAGGGGGGGAGGATGGGTTGAAGAAGGTTAAATAGCTCAGATAAGTAGAAACAGTTTTATTGTATATAATACTGATGTTTTAATTTGGAGAGAGAAATTGCTCGGGCATTTCTCCTGGACTGCATCTGGAGTGAGAAGATATGAGGAAGGGGAGAAGTAAGTAGGAAGGTTGAGGAAAAGGAGGAGAGGGGGAGAGTGAGGAAGAAGAGGGAGAAAGAGGGAAGTGAGGGAAGAGGTTAGAGCAGTGGTTCTCAACCTGTGGGTCAGGACCTCATTTGGGGTCGAACGACCATTTCACGGGGGTCGCCAAACAACGCAGTCCGCCATTTTTTCCCCCCTTTTCCGTAGCTGTGCTACTCCCTTTTATTCTATTGGCTTTTGAAAGCCAATAGAATAGACTCTCTTGAATAGAGTCTAATTCTATTGGCTTTCAAAAGCCAATAGGAATTGTCCAGGCTGTCTCTGCCCTGCTGAGCCCGCCAAAAGTCCCCTTCTGCAAACGGTGCTGCACCAGTTGAGTAGTCCTCGACTTACGACCGGTTGAGTAGTCCTCAACTTACGACCAGTTGGGTGTCGCGGCATTAAAAAGGTTGAGAACCACTGGAATAGAGTCTCATTCTATTGGCTTTCAAAAGCCAATAGGAATTGTCCAGGCTGTCTCTGCCCTGCTGAGTCCACTGAAAGTCCCATTCTGCAAATGATGCTGCATCACTTGAGTAGTCCTCGACTTACGACCGGTTGAGTAGTCCTCGACTTACGACCGGTTGGGGGTCGCGGCATTAAAAAGGTTGAGAACCACTGGGTTAGAGGGTGGATGCGGTTTGGGGGGGGGGAAATGGGTGAGCAATACCGAAAGTTGTGTGTATAAACTTATTTTACTCTGTATCTGAAGTATTTTTTATGCATGTAATGTAAAATTGAAAATAAAAAAATTTTTTACAAAAAAAAAAAAAAGGAAGCCTGCGGGGACGCGGGCGAGCCCCCCACCCCACCCCTGGACCCCCCCAGCGCTCCAAAGGATACCGAGTCCTGGTGCTGGACCGTCCGCGTGCAGATGCCGCTGTGCGCCTGCCAGAAGCGGACCGTGTGGTCGTAGCCGGCCGTGGCCAGGATGACCGGGTCGCTGCCCACCGTGCCCTGCGCGGGGTTCATGGTGCCGGCCTGGGGGGGGAGGGAGGGAGGGAGGCGGTGGGCGCTGGCAGCCCCCCCCCCGGAGGCGCCCTCGGCCAGGCTCCTGCAGCCGGCCCACCTGGCAGGGAGGTTGTGGGGGGGAGAGCGGCGGGGGGGAGGAAAGCCGCTCGCAGCACGAGGACGCCCCCACCCTGCACCCCCCCCCGCAGGCAGAGCACCTCCAATCCCCCGGCCCCGCCCCTCCCTTAGGTTAGCTTAGCTTACCTAGAGCGCCCGGGTACCAACCTTGCGCATGCGCGAGCCGAGGTCGCCCAGCCGCCAGGATCGAACCCTGCGTTGCGGCGTCTCTACGCATGCGCGCCTTTCCGTGCCAACGCCGAGCCGAGACGGGCGTTTCTGGCCATAGACTCCCGACTTAGCCTCATCCGAAGACGGCGAATTCCGGGTTCCTTTCTCTCTTTTTGGCTTCCGTCCGGGCTTGCTGTGGGGCGAGAGGCACCACAGAGGAGGAGGCTGCAGGCCTGCTTCCCGCTTCAACCAGCGGCCTCCTGGAAGCTCCCTCTGAAGGGCGTGTTTGGATCCCTCGGACTGGTTCAGCGCAGGGTGGAGAACCAGTCGAGGGGCTATGTGAGGCAGCCCTCCAGTGGAGCCACAGCAGGGGACGCTTTTCTGACTCCGGTTCAGCACCTCGTGAGAATCCAGCCAGCATTCCTTGACAGCTCCCGTCCCGGCTTCACGGGACCTCGGCAGTTTTCACTGAAAGCTCTTGGGCAGCTGACAGGGCGGCGCGCGGCCTTCTCTGTACTGTTCGTAACTCTACCGCCTTACATTCCCCGCAGAAGAGCGCCCTCTGGCGAGGCGGCACCAGGTAAGAGTCGAGGCTTTCGCGCGCGATTGGCCGCCTCCCTCGAGTGGGCGGGGCCTCGCAGATGGTCTGGTCCAGGGTTGGTCGGCGATGGGCGGGCTTCTGGGTGAGGAATCCTGGGAGTTGAAGTCCAGGCATCTTCACCTGGGCAAAGTTGAGAAACATTGATGCATCCAACCCTCTGCTGCATCGCTCAGTGCACTAATGAACTCTGAATGGCCGTCCATCCTCTGTGAAAGACCCTTTTGCGAAATTAGGTCTACCACTTCCTCTGGCAAATCTGTCCCTTCTATGAACAGCTTTGACCACCAGGTCTCCAAACATGGCAACTTTAAGTCTTGTGGACTTCAATTCCCAGAATTCCCCAGCCAGCCTTTGGGGAATTCTGGGAGTTAAAGTCCACAAGTCTTAAAGTATCCAAGTTTGGAAAGCCTTGCACTAGGGCACGTTTCCTGATGTCCAACCCAATTTGGCTTCCTTTGGGCGTTTCTTTCACGTCTTTGGGAAACTTCTGAAGGGTTATGACCTGGCTTCCACAGATGCTGGGAAATAGCTCTTCTGGCTTCCCTCAATTGTTCCTCCTCCAGGCCAAACACATCTAAAGCCTCTAATTGTTCTCCTTCCTTCCCCCTTGGACTCCTCTGGACGTCTGTAGCTTGTGACTGCCCTTCCTGAATGGCAGGACTCAGAAATGGGTAGTGGTTTCAGGGCTGCTATCACATTTGCCTTGTGTTGGAATTCAATGTGTATTTTGCCCTTTGATCGTCCCAGCCCTGCAGTCTCGATCCTTGGGATGTTGTGACCAAGATGACCTCTTACCCCCTTAAGTGTAACTCACTCACCCTTGTATTAAATTTGTTTGCTGGGGATGAAACATCTTGATCAGTAAAGATTCTCAGTCCCCTGAAAGTAATCAGAGAATGTTCACATCTTGGAATTCTTGTGGAAAACGAAAGAACTCTTACGAATTCCAGAGGGTTTTAGCAGAGAGATTTATTGCGCAGGTTCAGAAGCCATAGCAACAAGCAATTCTGAACCCCGAGGGCCGGTTCAGACTTCAGTTTTATACTTTCCTTTTCCTCAGGAACAAAGGAATACACATTGAAATACACATTGTAATACATTAGCTTCGTTTCTCACGGGTATACAATGGAGAGTTTGCTACATACATTGTATCCAAGGGCAATGCACATTAGGTTAGTCACATACTACTAACACAGCACTATTCCAGTAATTATGCAGACACATCATTATTCTAGTGATTGTTAACTTTTCCACATTATAATCAACTCAGGCAGCAGTTTGTCAGTAACATTCAGGGTATCAAAGGGGTGGAAAAGACCTTGGAGATCATCTAGAACAGCCCCTTCTTGTAATGTACTGCCACAATTGACCATCCAGCCTCCATTTGAGCACCTCCTGAGAAGTTACTCTATGTTCTAAGTCTGACTAGTGCAGAATAGCAAGGAACAACACTTATACTCAAGGATCACGTGTTGTTTATTTGCAGCTGAATCACTCTTTTGGTTTCTGTGCACCTTGGGATTTAGCACGACATCCAGATCCTTTCTACAAGCAGTCTATCAAGTGCAGTCACCTCGTGCCTTTGATTTATTTTTTTAATTAAATTTATATCCTGCCCATCTCATTGCCATGCAACGTTGGGCAGTTTTTTCCTATACGAATAGAGGGCTGCAGGTTTGTCCTGGTCAAACTCCATTTTGCAGGTACTGTCCATTATTCCAACTTCCTGGATTCTCTGGAATCTTGTTACAGACCTCCAAGGTGTTTGTCCTCCTCCCTATTTCCTAGACTGGAGCCACTCAGTGCTTTCATCCAGCTTCACACAGAGCCAGGGATCTATAAACCAGCTCTGAACAGCAAGGAGGGAGAGCATAAAATGACCCTCTTTGCATGCACAGGTAACCCTGCAGCCTCTACTCTGACCCCAGAAAAAGTCAAGTCATGTACCCTCAAACAAACAAGATCATATGCTTTTAAATATTGTGTGAATGCAATTCCTGTCCAAATCACTTACGGGGTATCTCTGTCTTGTCTGGATTTAGTTTCTTAGATTATCCCTCATCTAGCCAATCTCCAGCTGTTTCCTGAGGATGCTGCAAAGAAATAGATCCAGTGCCCATGCATCCTAAGAGCTCTCATGTAGGACTGGTATAGCTAGGTTTAGCCAGAGAAACCCCGTGTAGTTGAAAAACCTCCGTTGTGTTCTTAGAATGTTTTCCTTTGGGCGTCTCATTCTTGGGCCTCATAGTCTTGCCCTAAAGTATGATAGCCTTATCGGTAGCCTTATCAAGGGACTCAGTATGAGGCCAACAGTTGTTTCTCTGCCATCTAACTTCCCCTTTCTGTCGCAGACAAATTAGCTAGGAAGTTTGCATACTTAATTACCAGCTTTGTCAGTTAGGGACAGAAAGGTGAAGGCGTTGATATTTGAATCACATAGTCATAGGGCTGGAAGGATTTTGGAAGTCTTCTTGTTCCTGTTTAAGGCAGGCAACCTTATTCCATCCTGGAGAAATGGTGGTCCAGACTATTGAAAACCTCCAGCAAGTTGTCCCATTGATTAAATCATTCTTACTATCAAGAAATTCCTCATTTCCAAATTGGATCTTACATCAGGTACAGAAGGAGCTGACTTAGCCAATCTTCACAGGTGTTTTTGGCACAAAAAAACAAAAGAACAAAATAATTTGAAGGGACATATTGTGAGGAAGAGTTTGTTAAAATTTGGAATCTCTTGAGAATGAAGGTAGATCCAGTGATTTTACCAAGGGCATCATCATCATCAAATGCCTTTTTAATTCCAAGATAACAATCGCAAGTTTACAATAGAGTAAAAATAGAGCAAGAATTGTTGTAGTGAAAGTACGAATCAGTCATGCTTAAAATATCTACTTGCTGGAAGAATCAAAGTGACTTCAAGAAAAGATCCTATGAAAAAAATGACACAATTCAAAACACTTATATGGAATCAAGAAAATGTATTTGGATATGTTTATAAGTTATTGGAATATAACAAGGAGACAGAACATATTCAAAATTGTAAATAAAAATTGTATGATAAAATGGATGCAAAACGTCAACAAAGTAATTACAAAGAAACAATGAGAACAGCTATGGAAAAAAATCAATTAAACTCACTCCAAGTTATGATTTGAGGCCAAATTGCCACAAGATGCCTTATGGAAATCCCTTAATAAAAATATATCATTTATTTATTAACTGCATTTTTATCCCACCTTTATTACTTTATAAATAACTCACAGCAGCAAAGATATGTAATGATCCTTATTTTCTCATCATATGCGATCATATTTTTACCATCATACGTGGTGGTCATGTAAAAAAAACCCTTAAAAGTAATGTAGAAAAATAAACATATTTTAAAATTTGAATTGAAACCAGAAGTATTTTTATTTGGAATAATTCCAGAGAGGATGGATGAAAACGATCAGTTTACCAAAATACATGTTGACAGTGATAAGAACATTTTTCCCAATATTGGAAAAGTAAATCCTTGCCCACAATACTAGACTGAGAGAGCAAAATCAGAAAAAAAATGCAGCAATGGCAAACTGCGTATATAGGTAACACAAGTTTAACCAAGATAAGCCGGAGTGACTCCTGCAATGACAGGTTTAAACACTTGGAAAGCAGCTTCTAAGAAAAAGACACAAGAGACACAACGAAGAAAAGAATGATTTAATGTAGGGGTCCCCCACCTTGGCAACTTTAAGACTTGTGGACTTCAATTCCCAGAATTCCCCAGCCAGGAAAGATTTAATGGATACAAAGCAATAACTTTCATCTTCAAAGAAAAAGGCAAATCATCTGAGTAGCGATTGGGACCAATGGAAGGGATGGAGAAAATGTGATGTTGAAAGCAGTTCCTTTGAATTCATTTGGATTTGATTTCCTACGTTGCTTAAAGCGCTTTTAGGCATTTATATTTTTATAATACCGTATGCATCTAATAAAATATCCCCGCACCCGCGGAGGAACCGGACTGGCTGGAGGCCGGCCAAATCGGGGAGAGGGTCCCGTGGCCCGCGTCCACCTCCCACACATCACCGACCAAATCGAGGCAATCGGCCAGCCGGGAAGGGGGTATCTGCTGGATGCCCCGCATGAATTCATGAAAGCCATTAAAACTCTCCTGTTCCTGCAGGCCTGGGGCTGATGTCCCGGGGGGGCGGGCGGGATATGATCAGACACGCTGTATGAATGTATTTATTTTATTGTTTTATTGTCAGATTATTGTTTTAATTTTGTACGCCGCCCTGAGTCCCTTGGGATTGGGTGGCATATAAATTTTAGAAATAAATAAATAAATAAATTTGTTGTTGCTCTTAATTGCAAAGTCGTGTCCGACCCATCGCGACCCCATGGACAACGTTCCTCCAGGTCTTCTTGTCCTCTACCATCTTCTGGAGTCCATTTAAGTTCACACCTACTGCTTCAGTGACTCCATCCAGCCATCTCATTCTCTGTCGTCCCCTTCTTCTGTTGCCCTCAATCTTCCCCAGCATTAGGCTCTTCTCCAGTGAGTCCTTC